ACCCAAATTAATATCCCCCGTTTCGGTGAAAGCAGGGGATAAAAAACTGACTAATGGTTAGACAGATACTGTTCCTTTGAAGATTGCAGAGGAGCACACCTGACTTCAAAGTCAGCCAATTTTACTGTTACGCGACTGCAATAATCTTTTGGTGTACATCAAAGGACCAAACTAGTCTTCTTGTCTCAGCCACAAAGATGGCGCACACCTAGCCTTCGATTTTGTCAGGACATATTCCTGGGGTGCAGAAAGCGAAAGTGAGCGCAACCCATGGAGTATCGAGTTTGCCATGTTATATGTATGCGAGAGTCTTGCCCCTCTCCTGGACTTTATTAACCCTAGTCTCATGTGATGTAAGTACCATGGAGTATCAGACTAGCCCCTCCTAAATGAACTCTTGTTCAGACCTCACTCCTGATATAGGGTCAGAGTGCAATATTTTTTTTTTTTAATTATACCTACCAGGGAGTCTAGTCCCTCCCCCAGGAGATCCATGGCCCCGGCGGTCTGTACGGGGGTCTGGGAGGCAGGGTTGGAGTACATCTGTTGCTGTTGCATGGATGGTCCCCCCAGGTCCATGTCCAGGAGGTCCCCAATGAGGGAGTCCACACCAGGAATGACAGTTGCCTGCGGTGGGGGTTGGGCTGATGGCATGTCTCCCCCGGGGGATGAGGTGTCTGGGGCTCCCATCTCCTCTGTGTCGCCAAGGTTGCCTCTGGAAGATAGGAAAATATTTTTTTATCTGTTTGAAATAGAAACATTTTTATTTTAAAGACCACTTCAAATGGTTACTAAGTACTCAATACATTTTCACATGAACCTCGTAATTTCATGGTGAGGAGTCTTCAAACAATATAGATTAACAAGAAATAGCATACAGTTAAATATCATAGAAATAAATGACCAGGAAACATCAATACTAGCTTTGATAGGGTGATTCAAAATTTCTGATTTATTTGAGATATCTAATTTCCAGTAACAAGCAAAACACTTTTATCAATATATTTATAACAACCAATTTTGAATGCATTTTATAGAATGTACAAAGACTTTAAGCTGCAGGCTAGTGGTCCAATAAAATCTTAAAGAGTTTTAGCCAGTATTTCTTGACCTGTAGCAGTTATTGTAGATTACAAGTTAGGTGGAACTTTCTAGCTATGGCCTTGCAATGATATAAAACTGTAATCAGGGAAAACTACGACTGGTACTTACGACTGCGACCTGGGAGGAAGCGCCCTCTTGAAGGACGACTTAGATCCTTCCACAAAGGAGTTGGGTGGCTTGTGGTAGACTGATGCCAGACTGGAGATGTGGCAGATGAGTTCATCTAAAAGTGTCGGCTCGATCAGGTCCGTCTCCTCCGAGATGAGTGGCTTCTCGGCCAGGACAACGTCCTTTGCGGCTGCTGGG